GTACTACAGAAAAAAAAAAAAAAAATGACAACCTCGTTTCCACTGTTTCCCGCGAAACAAGTCGCTCGAACTTATAGCCCTTTCCGATCACGCTCGCAGGATCTGGACGTTGAAGGATGCGGATCGTACATTTAAGAGAACACGGGAGTGTGCATTGCGACACGATCCGAACGCCTTCGAAAGTCGGTTTCCTCGATATATCAGCGCGCGCGCGCGAGAGCGGGTAATGAATTATATTGGGACACGAAACGGAACGTTGTCGAAATTGAGCAATTCCGCGGAATTCCAATCGCCCAATTACGTACAACGGTTTCGCGTGACTCACGTTCAAGTTGCGCGCGGGGGGGGGGGGGAAGCCCGATCCGACCTGTCGATTTTTCCGCGGAAGCCGCCCACGCGAGGTATCGGGTTCGCTCGAAGGAGAGTGAACGTATTTGGCATTAAAATAATTCGCAACAGTATTTCCGACATCGAATACGCGCTATTTAAAAAGGCGGGGAAAAAAAACCGATCAAACATTGCGACATTTCAAGTTTAATTTTTCTCGAATTTTGCTTCACGATATTTTTACGCGTATCGATTGGGAACAAAAGTCACGTAGATGCGCAAGCCCGCGTGACGTTTGATATTGTAACTGCGCTCGTTGATATCGCAATTTTGCGAAACCCCGATGGACGCAGTCCAAAACTCGCCACTTCCGCCCACGAGGAAGCGGGGACGCTTCTACGCGTCGAAATTAGCTCGGAATTATTTCGGTGACTCGTAAATTCCGCTCAATCGTGAGCGCGTCTATTTGAGGCGTGAATTTACGCTCGCGTACGCTTATTATTAGCATTTGCGCGCGGAGAGGAAGAGACAATGCTGCGAAAGCGCGGCGCCGTTCGTGCGCATCGTCGATTAATCAGGCGCATAAACAGCACGTCGTTTGGTCGACGTAATTCCAACGCAAATCGCGCAAGCATTGACCAGCGGGGCGATCTTTCCGATCTGTCGCGTCGTGACGCACGTGGAAACGCCGCAGTGACATAGTAGGAAATTACGTTCCCTCCTTCCGCTTCTCGCGACAGAACGCGGAATAATCGGCGAATTCGTCGATCAGAATGCCCCGTGCGAGAATTTTCGTGGCTTTAAGGTTCCTCGTCGCAGCATGTGCTCGATTCGCATTAAGATCGGCCGCGATTATTACATCACGTGCATGTCAACTCGATGACGACGGAAGTGACTGAAATCGGCGGGTAAACAAGATGCGCTGCGATTTTTGCATAAATATAATATTTATCTTATCTGAACAAAATTATTCCGCTTCCAAGAACGAATTTGCTCGTGGAAATTAAAATGACAAAATGTGGAATTGATAAAGCGCGTAACCCGTTCATCGTGACCTCCCGGTTTCTCTCTGTCGCGTCACGTGGACGAAGCCGAGCAGATGAAAAAACAATGCCGATATTCAAATCGGCACCGGCTGTTAAAAACAGATCGACAGACGTGACGTCAATGTTTGCAGTGTCGCGCTCGGTTAATTTTATGCCACACGACGAAGATGTGCTCCGCGGAAATAAATATTTATTAAATTTTAATAAGCGCAATGCGAAAGTGCGCAATTTTCATCAATCGCCGTCGCTCACGCATTATGTGCTACGTCAAGTAGCCGCGTTTATCGTCCGACTTTAATTCCATGACACGATAGTCCGCTATATGCGAAATGCAAAGTGAATTGCGATGTGCCGCTTCCTCGAAGTGATCTCGAGCGTTTTCGCGGTTATGTTCCCTTACGCGGCAGAGCAGCGTCATCGGGAACTTAAATGGAGGTTGAATCACGGAAAGTGGAATCACGTAATCGACTCTATTTTCGCGCAATCGTACGCAATCGACCGAAATCGTTGGTATCGGAATTACGGGCTCATCCGCGGATTTTCCACCGAAACGTCACGACGC